TTCTACGGCTCGCAACACTCAACAGCATCCAAAAATACCCAGAATCCTCTCCTCAGAAGCTACACACCCACTCAGACGTTCACAGAAGGTGTCAAAGAAAAAAAGAGGAGACGTCAATAATAGAGAGGGGTAAGGATGGAAAAGGAAGAAGACAACGTAAGAAAGGAGAGGAAGGTGGAACGAGGCCTAGTGAGATTGGGCGAGTGGGTCACATGGTCAGGGGTCAAAGGGCACTGGGGAGAGATCTCTGAGACACACACCTGCAGCTTCTGAGCGAATGCAGTGGGGTTGGTCTCAGCGAGGTCGGGCTCCAGGTAGTGAAGAGGGCCCCCAGACTCCACCAGTCTGTCTAACAGCAAGGCGTTGCTGGGGTCCTCAGGGTCCTGGGGAAGGGTCTATGGCAGGGGAGGGGATGGGGAGGTCGATGGGGGGTTGGGGGGGTTAGCTAGGCAAAGCCAGCTACCATCGAGCCTTCTGATGGTGGGAGTTAGTTGTTTCGAACATGATGTGCGAAACATATGGCTTGTAATACCGGCATGTGACTGAATTGTGATTTACTGAAAGGCATCAAAGTCCAACAGCCACTACATACTTTTAAGGTTTGCTTTAGCTTAGCTTAGCATTCAAGTGCTAGTAACTTTAAGGTGAAAAGAACAGATTGGAGCCAGGAAGAATGTATGCAATTATGCTAATTAATTCCATCCCCCATCAGAATCAGCATTTTTTTTGATCTACTTTTGTATAAATTACTTTATCAATGACAAAAAAAAATGTTCACAGATGATCCTTCATATAGTGTTATGAGCGAATGTCACAGCACCGCTTTGAATTACTACACAACACTGCCCCCTAATGGTCATACTTGAAATTACAACCCGGAATTCCTGACTGTAGGGCCATCTTAAAACAAATTCCCCTTCAGCAGCACTGTCACATTTATTGCATACACTATTGTGGTAAGACAGTACAGCTAAGCAATTGCTAATTGAGCCAAATGAGCCGGGCCAAACAAGAAGTTCTATTGCCTACCAGCCTGGAGGTTCAGTGATAACACAGACCGGCATGCGCCCCACAGAAAGCATATATGCTGAAATCACATCCCAGCCTCTGTTTGGGGCTCTGACTCACCACTCCGTCCCGCTCGCCGCCCGGGCCGCGGATTAGCGTGTCGCTCTCCCGCTTCCGGCTCTTCTCTGACTCCGGGGCTCCCCGGGGGGGGTGCAGCACTGGTGACTTGGCGCCCCCGGCGATCTGCGCCTCCATCTCCTCGAAGCTCCTGGGAGGAGGAAAGATGGAATTTGGATATCGCTGGTGGGCTTCCAAACTGTGAATATGCATCATTTCAGTGAGAGGCAGCGAGTATTAAGACCCCATCTGGCGAGCTCCCTGCTGCGGGCAGCGTGTGCCGCCCGTGATGGGCTGCGGGCAGCGTGTGCCGCCCGTGACGGGCTGCGGGCAGATTCCCTGGCCTGGGGAAGTGCTTGGGAAATGGAAGAGTGGATCTACAGTTCTGTGTAAAAGTCTTAGGCAGCCAAAGAAAATGATGTATAAATGCTCTTCATGTTGGTGTGAAACTACAGTATGATATTATGCCTGTCAAAGTGTGTCAGCTTAGCCATTTCAAAACTTCTGCTACAATCACCCCAGTATTTCCAGCAACCATCCAGTACTCCCATATATTTTATGACTGGACCACTAGCACACCGAGTATAACTAATCAATGCCTTATTGACTTATTTAACTCATTAAATTAATTAATTAAATGGGCTGGTGGTGAAATTTAATAAATACATGGAACGGCTGAGGTGCCCCTGAGGAGAGGTTTGGGAGCTGAAGCGCTGATATCAGTGACTTTTTGAAGAAAAGGAGAAACACTTACTAGTTTTTTATTGTGTTATTCTTAATTTGCGTATGTTCTAATGCTAAATTGAACAAAAGTGCACTTACTACCCAGATAAATAGCTTTAAGCATTTCTTTTGACTGCCTAAGACTTTTAAAAGTTACTACTTTATATGTATATAAATACCAGGGTTTCTTCCCTTAAAGATCTCCCCCCCAGGGATGTAGTTAGACATTCTGGGCCTCTTTGAGTCCCCTGCCCCTCTTACGTTATATAACTTTTATGGATTGAAGGGCCCCCGAATCTGTCAGGGTATCCATGTCCTGTCCCTCTGGCGCCCCGGATCCTCCCTGAATGTCACTTGGCTTTTGTGTACACAAAAATCAACACTTTTAAAAATGATATTAAGTCTGTCACTCATCCTTGTGCACAACCAGAGGCAACAGCATATTTTGACAGTGTGATTGTTAACCTGTGTTGTATCGGTACGGTAGCTGTAGAGTGTATGTAACTGTGTGTAAACAGGGTGAGGGTTAATACAGGTTAATATATGTAGTGGCCAAATGAAGCTCCGTGAACCATGTGCTGCATTTTCTGACACCACTAGATGGTGCTCTCTATTAAAAAATGGGCTCAATGCAAGCAAATCAAGAACACCATCTAGTGAGGTCAAAAATACAGAAAATGGTTCATGAAGCTTCATTTGGCCATCACTAAATACAGATGTATTCCAGAGGGATGTACCCTGTGCAGGGGGAGCTGGGCTCAGAGTTCCTTGACCGGGAGCCCTTGGTAGGGCTGTCTGTCACAGAGTCCAGCTTCAGGTAAAGAGATGGCTTCTTCCCAGAGGTTGCCTGGGAGACACATGGGTCCAGGTTAGGTGCTTCTCACCCAAAGGGGCTAAAATGCAGCCAACCCCGGACACACAGACCAGTCAGGCACACGCAGACAGTCAGGCACACCTGCATTTACAAAGAGTAACATCATGTCAGACTTATGCCACATGATATAAATACTCACTGGAGTGGAAGATCCAATCTTCTCCATGTACTCAATCTCATAGTCTGATGACAAAAACAGAGGCACAGTGAATACCAATAGAAGCCTAAGGGTATTTGTGCACAGTGGGATGAATGGAGGATGCAGAAGGAGCTTTAACATCAAGCCAACTTTATAAACACTTAGTAACCACAGCTTTGTGGGGGGAAGGGCAGGTCCAGACCGGACAACTGGGACACTTGATTGATAGCTGCACTCATGATGTCACATGGTGTGCCTGCATCCATCTGTAGGTACAGTGAGGTCCAGTGTGGGTGCAGCTTCATGGTGCGTGAGATAATATTTCAGCGTATCTATCTAGCTCATTTCAGAAGCTGTGTCTGTCTAAAGAGCTGAAGGCCCATTCTATAATTTTCAGAGTAAACTTTGCAAGTTTCAGCAAATGGGTTTTCCATGGTTAAATGCTAAAATGCATACTGACTTCTGCACGTTACTGGTTGCTTTTGCTCATTCACTTTTGCTTGACATTCTCAAGAAGCAGCAGCCATTCTGCAGAGCCCATGTTGTGTACATGCCCCCCCCCCCAGACTAATTTCCATCTCTGGGCTGTCATTTCAGCCACAAGCCTGGTTGAACAACTCACCAACTTTGAGCAACTTGGGCAAAACAAACACATATGGCCCTGCTGGCTTGCTTTTGGCCGTCGGTGTGTCTGTGTCCCGCACACGTGTGTTAACAAAGACACGCATGCACAAACACTCGGCAGAAAACATATGTATGACCGCCAAGGCAGCTTCCTCCCTCTCTCAGGCTTCTCTGCATCCCCCACCATGTTTTTGTCTCATTAGCACCCTGTCTCATGAATAATGTATTGAACATGCGGTTTAATAAATGAGAACAGGATGGCAGTCTGCCATTGCAGGGCACGTGCCAGTTTTGAGACTGCAGTGGAGCAGTGCATCATGGGGAGGGGATGATGTGTACACTGATAAACAGTTTGTCAGCTTATCTGCTTTTCATATCAAAGAGAAAGTTCGGAGAAAACACCAATTTAACTTCAAAGTGGTTTCAGACTTAATATGCTAAATAGAAAATATTGTATATTGTATCATATTAAAACAGGGTTATTAAGCTTGAATATATCTTCCCATATCATGTGCATATTATGCTTCTAATATCTGCTTTGATAAATCAAGAATTGTAAACGTTTATTAAATCCATGCCCAGGGACGGTTCTAGAGACCCTGGGGGCCCAAGGCAAAAACTTCATGGGGCCCTCCTACATACCCCACCCGACATGGTAGAATTTATGACCATTATTTTAACGTGAAGTCTGAATTAATATCAGCAAAGGAAATTTTAATAAACGCAATTCCTTTATTTTCACTTTACTGTGAAAGCAGAATACCTAAATATAGCAGATTTGTCGTTGCAAAGTACTACGTAATCGGCCGCCCTCAGGAGCCCCCTCCAAGCTCGGGGCCCCAGGCCGTTGCCTGCCCTGCCTGTTCTGTCCCTGCACCTCTGGCTATGTCTTGAAGAAGATGGCATCTTGATACTCTCCCAGCTCACACACAGAACAGCAACACACACCGCCCGCCATCGCACCATGGGTCTGTGACGACAGGCTGCTCTCGAAGTCAGTGAGGTCAGAGGGCTGGGGGTAATCCCGGGGGTCAGAGTTCAGCTCCGCCTCCACTCCCTGCAGAGTGGCCCACTTCTGATTGGAAGAGGAGGCGAGCTTCTCCTCGTCAGTGGCGTGTTCGTCCTGCGGGACAACGGGTGGTGTGTCAGGAGTGGCACGGGGGGTGGGCTCCTGAACGTAAGCGTGGGGGGGATGGAGGGGGGTGAAACGTGAAAAACACACAGGACACGACTGTTGGGGTATGGTGTGGAAATACAAGACAGTTGGCCTTGTTAGAATGGAACATTACAAAGACATAAAGCACACGTAAGTGAACATTTCATCTTTTATATTAAAAAAACGAACATTTTACATAACAAATGGGCTATTAACATTTGTGCACAAGTGCAGACTATGACCAGACCAATCAGGGGGGACTGATAATAGAGAGGGTGTAAAATCTGGATTGTAACAGTATCATTTTGTAAATGTAGAGGGAGATGGCGAGGTAAAGAATCTTCCAGGCAGTGCTTCTCAAACTGGTCCTCAGAGAACCCCTGACAATCCATGTTTTAGCTCCCTCTCAGGTCACTAGGAGAGGGAGCAAAAATGTGGAATGTCTGGCAGGAAGATGGAAGGAGCAAAAACAGGGACCGTCTGGGAGTCCCTGCAGACCGGATTGAAGAGCACCGCTTTAAGGGATGTGAGGAAAAGGTGGACAGAATGTAAAACCCTGTGATGGATGGATGGATGGATGGATGGATAGATAGATAAATAGATAGATAGATACTTTATTAATGCTGAAGGAAACTGCAGTAGGATGTCATGACCAAGCACGTGTAGATGAAGACAAAGCATAGAGAGATTTGTTTCTGGGATGCTATGGATAGGTAGACAGATTAAAAAGCAAGAAAGAGTACAAGCAGAACTTTTGGGAAGTTGACAGACAGGTGGCCGGTTGTTATTGTAACTACAGGGATATTCGGCGTGCAGTTAGGCAGATCACCGGCCAAATGCAGTCATGAGCAGTTAAACGGGCAGACTGACAGGCAGGGAGGCGTGATTACCTGGGATGATGTCTCCGATAGGGAAGACCTCTTAGGAGACTTCTTCACCCTAAATGTGTTACTGAAAGACAAGGGAGAAACATGGAAATTCAGAAAGGATCGGGGCAGACAGTAATAAATGATCCCAGAATGGATATCCCACGGGACCAATCATTTTTTCCTTTTACACATTTTTGTGTAAGTAAAACTCACATGAGCGAAGCAGACTAATAAAGGAAGGGGTGCTGACTGTGAGCCAGAGAAGTGGACGATCAAACACAGCGTAGTAAACTAGAGACCTGCTGGGTTTAGTCCTTGAAATAACATTTTGAAAATAATGACCTGGTATGGTTATAAAAGCAGCGACCATAGTGGCAAGTAATAGCAAGTGATATTTGTTGTATAAAGCAAATGCACTTTTTAGAGCTGCCTGTCATCATCTGTCACAGATTGCTATAGTGACAGTATGCTGGTACACCCTGTTACACTGTCAGTGGTGCTGACACACACTGCTGAAGCAGCATAGGAAATTGTTTGCCTGCAGCCTTTCTCAGAAACACTTGAGGTTTCCCTTTCAAATTCACATGGGCTGGTAACAGCAGTTAGTGTGGAAATTCGCTCCACTGGACAGCGGCATCGTTTGTGTCAGGTAGAGGTTTGCGTAGCGACTTCTCAGGGTCATGGTTACAGCGAGGTGTTAGCTGGTTAATCCTGGGTCACTGCTGTGTGTTAGACTTGGTTAGAGGAACCATGTTTGGAGTTGGAATGATGCTCAGAGAGATGTTCTATGGGTGAAACGCAGGTGGGATAATGTTACCAGACGAGTCACTATCATGGATCAGAGGCATTGGGCATGTTGCTCAAACTACACACTGCTTCTGTTCAAATACATCTTGATATATTCAGGTAGATATATTTCTCAAGATAACCCCTCCAAGTGCCCCCATCCTGACTATAAATTATAAAAAACCAACCCTGACCTGAACACACCTCACTCTGATCTCCCACTGCTTCAGGACAGCTCCCACCTACAGCTTTGCAGAACACCAGGGAATCATGGAGACCTGCTGCCATAGCAACAGGAAAAAAAAAAAAACTGCCCAGAAAGCTCACGTGTTCGCGGCTCGTTTCCATCGCACGTCACCCCTCCCCCACCACCCCAATATCTGCCCGGCCGGTCTCTGCAGCGTCTGCAGTGTGCTGTTTCCATCCCATGCCTCCATGAGGTAGGTGTGGAGTCCATAAGTGTGAACGTCTGACTAGTGTAATGGCAGAAAGGATGAATAGACAAAAGCTTCAGCTATTAAGCTTTTAATTAAACCAGTAGATCATTATCATTGTTGTTATAGCTAGTAAACATCCATAGTGTAAATGTGTGTCTGTAAGCTGAATCACGTGGTAGTCATCTTCTTTGAAATTACAGCGATAAATAGTGGCTGGAACGAGACATGGACTGATGGAATATGCAACGTCTGACCAGTAGAGGTCACTGTTGTATAGCCTGAAGGATCGCATGGTCTGGTGACACGAATACATCTTACTCCCTGGACATTTAAACACCACATGCTTGCAGGTAAAGCAGATCCCTGTCCAGATATTTACCACCATTCACAGCGTGCATTTATCTGAAATCCAGCCCCCTCCCCTTAGTTATAAGCTGAAAAAGCAAAAGAAAAGCAACAACTCCATAGAAAGTCTTGATGTGTCTGTATCAGAATTAGCAGAGAGCTTGAAAATGTTGTGTAAGTGAGGCTAATTACGTCACTCTGAAGGAGAAATACTTACCTAGCAGTTTTCAGTATCGCTTTTTCAAACAGAAAGCCTGTGTTTTAGTGGTAACCAGAGAGTTGGCATGAGGCGTCAGAGGGAGAATAATGGCTTGGGGGGGCGGGGATTCTGTTAATAGGGACTATCATTGAGCTTTACTATGACAGTCTTATGTGTTATGGACAGTGCTGTAAGTATATGCAGTTAAAGCTGGGGTTCATCATTAAACATATTCCCCCTTGTTGTCTCTCGGCCACGCCCAGCACTGACTCCTCAAACCTGCGCAGATATAACCCCTGACCCCAGACTTCGGTCTCGCTCGGCAGCGCTCCCAGAGCTGGCTGTCAGATGGCAGATTGCAGGCTAATCGTGCCGTGGCTTACACGCCTCGGTGCTTCGTCTTAAAAAGGCAGAAACTATCACCCAAATGGGGGACAGGGGCCATTTTCCCTTCCCTCTCCTTCTCCCTCTTTGTTTGGGTTTTTGCTGTGTATGTCATTAATACCATGTTTAATAATATTAATCATCATCATCTTCATCATATATATCAACAGGAATGTGTCTGTTATCGGTTTTTATACATAGCTACAATAAGGTAACCTAAATATGCAGCTATGATGAAACACCTGCAAAGTCATTTTCTCATTCGAACAAATAAAGTCTGTCTGTCTGTCTATCAATATGTGGTTTGAATTAAATACATTCAGAAGACAGATGAAAACTGGTGTACAGCAACTGAACTATTTTATATATATTGAGATTTTATTACATAATTATCATAATGAGGAGAAATTACTTAAAAATATCCTTAGTATTAAAGGCAAAATCACAACGAATCAGTGTTTAGTCAATGACACCAAGTAGCCACATTCCTAGATTGTACAACCAGTATGCTGGAAATAACTCATAATGACATTCTCCAACCTGACTGAAAAGAGATTGTAATGTACGTAGTTCCATGGGGCCTTTTCCCATTATTTTTTGTTAAAAGTTACATTTTAAAAGCTGCCGCTAGTTTCTTATGCTTGGTACTGTGTGTTTCTTTTGCTGTGATCAATTAGGCCTTTGGAAGCCGTCTGCTGTCACTGCTAAGACGATGTTTCATCAGGGCTGGGCACGCCTTCAGATCAGGCAGCTGCAGAATTTCGCTCCTTTGGTCTTCAGGGAGCAGCATGGGGGGAGAGGGGTGCAGGGGGCTCAGGCGGGGTGGGGGGGGGGGGGGGGTCTGTTTATGTGTTTTGAGGTTAGGGGACGGGGGCTTACGGTGAGGAACGGGTGAACAGGACACCCTAACGGAAGGGAGACAATGCTAAGATTCGCAGTCGGGGGTGTTAGCCGCATGAGTCGAAGTTATAGTCGAGATGAAGTTTGCTCTGTGGGTGAGAGTTTGGACTCTACCGTTGTACTTACAACAGACAACAAAGAGACGAGCCGTCGCCGAACATCCTGCGACATGAGGATACGCAGACAGAGAGAGAGGTGACAGAGAGACAGACGGGGGACAGCACAGCAGGGACAGCGCTCAACACACCGTCACACACGCCGACGCAGAGACGTGCGGCTCGCCTCTCATGCACGCTAACAGCTAACAGATACTGTACAGACAGAGAGGTTTACACCATGCTGGAACACAAGCGTCGCACACACGAGCCCTGAAGAGTACTGTTTAATTAACACACAGAGCGCTGAGTGTTAGACTGTATCTGGGACATTATCCTACCAATAAGTTTTTTGGAGATGTGAGAAATTCGGGAAGAAACATCGTAAAACCCCATATATGGTAACAAATAAGAAACAGGAATAATACTAGGGCTCTCTTGGACACTAGATGAAATTTGTAGAAGGCTAGGTGATTGTTGTTGCCAGGACAACAAGCGATAGATATTATAAACACAAAGAAAATGTGAAACATAGTTAAAAGGAATGAAGCCCCAACTTACGATTTTAAGGGCGCCTTCTTTTTCTTTGCTGGCTTATTCTGGTTGGGATCCTCAAGCTCTCTGATGCTGTCGTTGTCATTGTCGTTGGCAGGGACCTCAAACGAGGCTGGTGAGGTCTTAGGCGGAGAGCTCCCTATCTTACTGGAGGATCTGAATGGGTCGATGGAGTCATCAAAAGTGTCCGGGTCAAAGTTGTAGCTGGTGTGGGAGAGCTGCGGCGAGCTGGGCATCGCACTGGTGGAAGAAAAGGGGTTGAAGTTGGGCTCATCCCACTTGCTGGGGTCAAAATTATACACGGCCTTAGGGATTGGCATGTCTTCGTTCTTGGCTGGTGGCTGGGCGGGGGCATTGTCAAGAGGCTCCTCAGGGGGTGGAGGCTTCCGCATTCCCAACTTTGGCTTCCGGAGGGGCATCTTGGCTCCTGGTTTCTTGCCCAGCTTCTTCGGTGGGGGTGTGGAGTCTCGCGGAGATTCCCCGCTCTCCTCCGAATAGTCGAACTCCAGCCGGACCGACTGGCGCTTGTTCAGGGGCTGCTCGTCGCCAGGGGTGCTGGTGGTGACGCTGGCAATGGTAGTGAGGGCAGGCACTGGGGGCGAGGGGAGGGGCAAGGGAGCAGGGTCCTCGGGCACAAATGGAGGATCAACGGCAGATGTAAACGATACCCCTTTCCTACTTAACACTGGGGAGTTGGCAATCTTACTACCTCCGGTTTGGAATGGGTCTATTCCTTCAAAATTGTCCGGGTCCCAGTTGTAGGATCCCTTTGGGAGAATGGGAGAATCTTCGTCTGGGACCGGGGGGAATGTGGAAGTATGGGGGTGAACAGGGGAAATAGGGGCTACTTTGTTTAGTTCTGATTCCTCGGCTTTAGGGACTGGGCTTTCTGGTTTAAGCTGGTTTTTTCTTAGCGTTCCACCAGGGCTTGTGATGGCTGAGCTTCCCTCCTTCTCCTCCTCCTCCTCCTCCTCCTCTTTGGGCAGTAAAGGGCTCTCTGGCCTGGTCTTGGCCTTCTTCTTGGCCTCTGGGGGGGAGCTGACGGCTGTGCCTTCAGTGGAGCTGGCAGTATTGGAGCTCTGCCTGGAGAGAGGCTTCTTCTTAAAGGAGGCCGACCTGGGCTTCTTGCTCTTGCGGAGCGTCCCCGGAGCGCTCTCTGTGCCGACGTTGAAGGCTTCAGCCTTCGGTTGGGCCGAGCTTCCTGGGACGCCCGTGTCGGACCCCTCTTCCGGATTTTCTAATTCCCCTGCCTGGAGGCTGAGGGACCGGGTTAGTGGACAGCGGGTCAGGGTCACGCAGTCCGTGGATCGGCGCCTTCCCCCACCGTCGTCTTTCAGCACAGGTGCAAAAGCAGAATCAGGGAAAGGCTCGGAGGCAAGCAGGTCAAGGTTATAGGCACCGCTGCTGGCGATGGGCTTGTCCTCGTCAAAGACGACCGAGTTCGAGCGGCAGGGGGGCTGGAAGACCGGAGGGTCTGAAAGCGGCTCGCTCAGGGACACGGACTCTGACACATGTGTAGAGTCGGAACAGAACCCTGGGGGAAACATCGTCACACAACGTAAGTCCAGAAGAAAGACCCAGAAAGGTGTCCAGTCACATGCTTCCTCAGAACAAAAGCCTAAATCAAGATGTACAACATTGCTGAACGAGACTTCCTGGTGTCCACTGGGACCTAGATTTTCCCTCCTCTCAGCATGACTAGTCAGAGGTGGACATTTCAGGTCCAGAAAGTAGAAATCCAGACCAAGATTTTGTTTCAACCAACCAGTTTTGCACGAGTCAGTCACAGAGTACTGAACTGGTTGGTTGAAACAAAATCTTGGTCTGGATTTCTACTTTAAATTTTTACTGAAATTGCCACCTCTGTGACTAGTTATATTTTACATGTATTTTTCCTACTGATGAAGAACACCGGATGATTGCACCTCTTTTCAGGCATAACTAATTCCATGGTGATCCTGGAGAAAAGTTGTAAATAGCACCAGGGACTATCTGAACCACCTACTGTGCCGGGAATGGACTAAAACTAACGGCAGTACACACACGGCCCACTGGGGACTGAGCCTGAGGCTTTGATGTTCATGAATATAACATCAAACGCTAGCAAAGATCTGCAGCCCCAACATAGATTCTGCCTCTTTCTTACATTCATTTATAGTCTTAGAATTATCTAACTTCCCCAATTCATATATCATTCTAGGTGGCAATTTTAACAAAGTTCTGGATCCACTAACAGATTACACATCAGTGACCTCCAACAGAAATCCCAGCCACTGGCAATAGACTCGCATATTGATTCCTTCGTGATTAATAACTCTATCAGACATAAGATAACCGATCCAGTCAGCTTTAGTCCTGCCATCTCGGATTATGCCCCCCATCAGTATCACATTGCAAACAAAATATCAGCTTCACCCCTCCCTAGATGATGCTTAAATAGCTCATTATCTAAAGACAATGGATTTCTCAACACACAAAAGAATGGACAACTATTGCCAATATCAATACCAACCCGGGAATATCAGCAAGCACACTTTGGGAAATCACAGGAGTAGAAAAAAGCATTTCTCTCCGTTGAGGCTGCTGTCTTTGTGTGTGTGTGTGTGTGTGTGTGTGTGTGTGTGTGTGAATTTGAGACTACGAGTATGTGGGTGAGCATAGGTATGTCAACATCCATAGCAATAAGTCTGCCAGTGATAAAACACAGCCAGTTGTTAGACATGACTAATTACAGTAACTAATGAAGACAGCATCACTAATTTCCCCCATCATGGGATCAGTAATATGAAGCAGGATAAATCAGCCTTCAACAATGGAACAAAAGACTGGGGTATATTTGGATCAGAACCATTTATGCAACCTTCCCCATTCTTACACTGGACATAGAAAGTAGCAATCAAATGAGAAAAAAAACTATTATATAAAGAAGCTACAGTATATTGTATAGCAGGTCTAGTCAAATCGTGGTCCTCAAGGTCTGAGCTCTGCTGGTTTTCCAGCCTTCCTTTACCTGTGAGCCCGGTGTGAAGCCTCTGGCCAATCAGAATCAGTAATCATTAAACTAACTACCTGGGAGGACAAAAACAGGGCCTGGATTTGGAATCGAGGTCCAGATTTAAAGAACTCGGCTGTATAGCGTCATTTAATCTGGCTGCAGTATTGTTTCTGTCCTGTAGAGGTCACTCTGAACTTGCTCTCTGTGAAGATGGATTGCAGTACAGCTGACTGACTTGATGCAGTTCTTTACTAAAACACTGACTAATCAAGGTGTTTCAGCATAGAAAATATAGCAACACATTCCAGACATGGACTGTAAAAGAATGTGACAATGGGGGGGACAATGGGAAAAGTACAGTAGAATTTCTCTTCATAGATTATCAGTTATGTCACCTCTTGGCCATGTTATGATAAGGAATGAATGACAGAACAGTGGTTTCCAGGTATCTAGTGCTAAAAAAGATACTAGGAGTTTGACCACCCGTGTTCGGAGAGGAGCCAGCTCGTCCAGGCCTGTGCTAAGCCACTCCCTGCAGTGTGCAATGCAGTGCCGGCACACCCGGGGAAATCTCGCTCCCTGATCACAGCTGCACTGTACTAAAACATGCAGCAAAATCCATTCCGTAGGACCTCTGGCAACCTGGCACATCAGCTCAGAAAGAAACGAAAATGGCTCCCTGAACGAAGACTGTAATTTTGGGCTTAATGTGCCATGACGGTGTTGAATAAACATGCAGACGGGGTGAGGACAGGCAGGCAGGCCTCACCCGTGTCCTGGGAGGACGGCTGCTGCGTCGGTGCGTCTGGCTCTGCTTGGGGCAGAGGGGGTGTCGCGGCCTTCACCGGGGTGGTCGATTCGGGGGTCTCAAATGCGCCGTCTGAGTCGGAGCTCCTGGAATGGTGAGAGAGGGGAGGGGAGACTCAGCATCAGCATCTGGGCCGGATTGTCATGCCGGTGGTCAGTCCTGTCAAGTGGTGAGTGTAAGCAGACATATAAGTGCTAATGTATCCCAAGGCGGCTAATGCTAATCACACTACAGCAGGGGAAGCGGCACAGCGGCGATTCCGGCTGCAGCCGGTCCCACAGCGTGAGGCGACATGCTAAACCGGACAAAACCTAGACCTGAGGTGAAGTTTCGTGACCATAAATGGAAGGTGCCGACTCTGCAGAGAGATTTCTGAAAAAGCTGCACGTACAATAAATGAAAGAAAAATGGTGGAAGATTCTTATCATACTCAGACAGGTCAGACAGAATTCATCCATGTAAACTTACAAATAAATGAAGAAATGTCACATGCTGAATTATAAGGACTATACCAATGTTTAATTTGTACTGAATACTAAACAAACTGATAACAGAATAAGATTTCTGGCTGAGCTCAGGTTCTGATCCGCCTTCCTTGCCATGATTGCTAATGGGACCCCACAAAGCCCATCTCTCAAAGAACTCATTGCAGCATTGACACACTGGCTGGACTGAAAGCATGCAATCACCCCACCCCCCACCCCCACAAGTCGCAATCGACTACATCTGCTATCAAGCACTCTGCACCAGCGTGGGGGGGGGGGGGAACGCAGGGGGGGTGATCACACATAAAACCACATTTGAAACATCGCATTTGCATGCATTTACACAGCACTTAATGCAGGTTATTTTTACTACACCTCCCCCCCAACATCCCCTTTGTTTTTTGCATCGTGGTTGTCGACGAACCCCCCCCCACCCTAGACATTGGCAAACCCCAACCCTCCCCCTCCCTTGTGCCCTGCCACGCCCCCTCACCTCTCTCGGCTGGGAGCCCCTCCTTCCCGGAGCATGTTGTCATGCCGCACTCCCCCAGCGAGGCGCTGCAGGAGCCCCAGTGTGGGGTCTGCGGCTCCTGACCCCCCCAGAAGCGTGTCCCAGCCCCAGCGGGCCCACTGCAGTGGGGACAGCACCTGCCACGCGCTCACAGCCATGTCGGCTCTCCGCCACCTGTCCGCAGCTTATAGGCTGGTGGCTCTGGCTGTGTGCCCCCCCCCAGCTCTCCACCCCCCCTCCCTCCGTCTCCTTAGCCACCAGAGAAGCTCCGTCCACAGAGAGGTAGCGGCTCCGAACACCAGGACAGACGCTGTCACTGTGACTCAATACTCGTATCCCCCCACCTCACTTTCCAGCTCTCTTCTCTCTCTCTCGCTCTCCCTTCCTTGCTCTATCCTCTCTCTCTCTCCCACCCGCTCTCTGCAACGAATTTTAATGAGCGAATCGGCGAGTGGCACCTCGGCCACCATGCAGCGAAACGCATCCAACAGATTCTGCTCCACAAACCCATTTCTGCGGCTCTTTTACCCAGCAACACCGGGGGCGTTAAACCCCGCCCAGGTGCTCCAGCTGTACACAGACATACGTGCTCGCAGACTCAAGCGGAGAAAACACTGACCTGCAGCAGTAAGCCACGCACTCCCACACACCATCACATGCAAGCACAATTCATTCATATGAAGGCATTAATACTAAATTAGGATCTGAACAATGTAAGCTGTTCTTAACTCTCATATGTATAGCAGGTACCACAACATAGATAGTGTCATGCTGCTTAACGGCCCAGGCTTAAGCCAGAGGGGGAAGGTAAGGGGAAGGTAATTCCCTGGACTGGGAATCAAGTCCACTATGGTACATGAGCATCCCAATATGACATTTTGCCTCACTTTTGTGTTGAGGTCTATGGAAGAGGGAGGAGATTTCAAGTGTAATAACCTGATTTGTTGATGAACCAATTACTCTCCCTCAAATGAAACTCTAGTTGGGGAGATCAGCAGTGTTAATGACCCGGTGCGAGGGCATGTGGCACTCTGGGCCGCAGCACCCCCACCCCCTGCAGGCAAGCAGTGAAGAGGAACGCGATCATCAACCGCAAACATGCCGGGGTAAGGTAATGGGGGTGTCGTCTCCCTGCTGCCAGCCTCCCCGCTTCCATGAGCTTTGTCCAGATGCAAGAAGGTGTTACATAACAGTTTGTCGCCATTTTGGCATGACAAAAAGCCATGGAGATGATAGGGAACTTCAGGTAAGATCATTACAGAGGAAATCAATAGGCATAAAAGGCTTTCAAGAGGAACAGTAGATGAGAGAACATGAACTTGGGTGGAGTGCATGAGGAACACAAGAGGGATCAAAGAGAACAATAAGCTTGGTTTATGACCTTGAAGCCCCGGGGACAGGTCAGAGCAGACAGCATTCAAAGGTCAGGTACCCATTTCGCCAGAACAAAGGCAAGAAATGATGGAGACAGAGAGGGATAGAGGAGTAGGGAAGAGAAAAGGGAGGACATGACCAGGGCAAAAATGGAGCTGTGTGGGAAATACGTCACATGCAACTGACTCATATATGCAAATGGTCTCGGTTATTATGCAGCATATACCTGAGACAGTGACGAAACAAGCCAATTACACCTCACCCTGCGAGGCATCTTAACCAATCCATAGGCTCAGAATGCTGAGAAAGGAGTGTCCATCCCATTGAGGCCAGCTTTTAACTGGCTGCGTGAAAATTCCATGAGAAAGCCACGAAACCCACTGGCCCTCCATCAGAGAGCCATGTCAGCAGGCAGTGTGAGGGTCATAATAGAGGCTTGCGGCTAAAGGGATGCTATCAGACGTTAGCAGCAAATGCTACCAGATGTTGATTTTGATATATACAGATAGATAGCAGCTGTTTCTGTGGCGGCTGGTAGCATGGAATGGTCTCTTGATGCATGGCCTTCCATTTTGCTCCTGGATTTGGTTCTGTAATTGCACTGTAATTGCACCGACACTGATTTTATAGTCTGAACGCTGTACCGTTCCAGACCAACGACATTCTGACCGCTGCAAAGCAGCATCTGTTTCTCAGACTGTTGCTTAGACATACTGCCAGATCTCACCAAAATGGCAGCTTGGGCAAGATTGTTAAAGTACCGATGGGCAGAAGGATAAGAAGGGCTGCGAGTATAAATCCCCAGGCCCCCGGAATCATTTTTAATTAAAACGCCTGACAGTACAGCATGCAAACCGCTGGCACCAGAATCAGGCCATTTTCCTGGCCTCCTGTCACTTCCTAAGCAACAAACACCAAGCTAAAGTTATCCGGCTGCCTAAAGCAGCATGTTTCTGCTGAGAATAAGGGTTTTAAATCAACCTAAATAAGATTTGTGCATCAAATAACACAGAAATGATGGTCATTAGCAGTGCCAAGTTGCACTCCAGGGAGAAAGTTAAAGAGCTGCGTGCTCTAAAAGCAACAACACACACACACACACACACACACACACACACACACACACACACACATACAGACACAAACAGTTTTAAATAGAAAGGGAAGATAAACAAACAATATATATATAGACACACACACACACACGCACACACACACACAGCCATGGGAAAGATTAGGAGACCACACTCATTTCTCTATTTATGGGTGTGCGTCTGTGAATAATACATTTTTTTGTAGCCTGGTTCCTCTCTGTTTCTCATTGATGAAGGACTTCTTCCTTGCTTTATGGGACTTCAGTCCTGCTTCTAGGAGCCTGATATGAAGCATTCTAGCAGTGCACGTTACACCTGCACTTAATGTTTCCCATTCCTTTCGAAGATCACTTGATGACATCATCAGTTATCTGAGACACCGCCAGATAAGTTGACGGTCATCTCTGGCATTAGAGTCACCTGTCTGGTTTCTGGTCGTTCCCAGCGTCTCCTGCTTCACCTTATTCTTGTGTTCCAAGGTCTTTGACATTTTTAACCTGGAAGCAACCTGCTGCTCAGCGTAGCCTTTTGCCAGCCGAACCACGATTAAACTAATACTGATTTGTTTAAAAAATCATTTTTTCAACAGCTGTGTGTGTATTTGTGTATGTGTGTGTGTGTGTGTATATATATATATGTATCGATATATGTCGATACAACATTTCGGTGATTGTTTACTGGGATTAGTTAGCAGTTACCAGGCACATTTTCTATTTTTACAGAGCTCGTACACATCCTGAGACAATCTCCATGGCAACTACAAATAGCAAAAGCCATATGCTACTCTGTGCTTGTACTGAACACAATAGTAGCCTGCAACACACACTGCATACTGACAAATATGCATATGCCAGTGCAATCACACACAGCCTCGTGCACACACCATGCACACATACATGATCAGACGATGTATAATACACATGTACAGATACAGTGCAGCTATACATACAAACCATACATGCATGCATAGACCCACATACACACACACCATGAATAAAAGCAGAGACAATACAATACGCATACAAAATCAGAGTCAGACCATACAGATTGCATTAGTAATTATTCATGGACAGCTTGAGACGGTCTGTAGAGGCAGAGTTTCTAAAGGGTTTAATGCCTGAGAAGTACAGCCTGTAGCCTCAATATATAATCATTATTGCCAGATATTTTACAGTCCCTATAAGCGGTGACATCCCTGGGTCCGTGTCTGCGTGCGAAGGAGCGTGTTCTCATGACATGGCAATAACTAATTGGCAATATCACTTAATGGCCTGTTACCATTACAGCAGCGGGGCAAATATTGAGTTAGGGTCTGCTGTAGATGCATGGTGGGCTGGGTTATGGAGGGAGGGATGGAGGGACAAAAGACGAGAGCGTGATCGACGGAGGGGGGGAACGAGGGAGGAAAAGGAGCTCGAGATAAGGCAGACAAAGAAGGAGACAGACTGAGAATCCGTACTGAGGGACAAAGACATGATAAGCTATGCTTGCAGATAGAGGGAAACTCTGATATAAGCCTAACTGCTGACTGGTGGAATTTTACCTCACTGGTTTTTAGTGTTACTACAGTTGTTTCTACAGTTACCAAAAATATAATGACATCATTATATATGCAAATCAAG